AAAAAAAAAAAAAAAAAACAACAAACAAAATATATGAGAAATATGAGAGTGCTATAAAAAAAACGCTGTGTGGCAAATATACATACACACATGGGTGTTTTTTTATTTACGGTTGTTTTTACTGTTGCTTTTTAAGTGTGGCACAAAGAAATGTCAATATTGAATTTAATGAAAAACTACGTAACAATGCAATCTAGAAGATAATAAAAACACAGAAATGTTTAAATATTCATGGGAGTAAAGCGATATTTAAGGAATTTGACTTTAAGAAAATCCAATGTGTAAAATAAAATAAAAAAATAAACGAAGCCATTCATGGCTAAACTGAATCATTGGACTTCATCGGCTCAGAGCCTTTCATGGCAATGGGTCAATTGTGCCTTTATTTCTTCACATGTTTTGTGAAAAGCCGATTAAATTAGCTCGATAATGAAGCAATGGTAGCGGCTTATTTATGTTTCCTGTATGTGTTTTCGTTGTTGTGTGTGTGTGTGTGAGCTGTGAACCCAAAACTCAACTCACAACAATATTTGCATATAAATTTTGGTATGCCAGTTGCTTGATGAGCATCGACGTTGATGACGGCGTCGGCTTTGCGGGGGCGGGGAACGTTTTGATATGCAAATTCTGGTTTGATATTGAAATGTAGAATAAACTTTGGCCAAGTTGTATAATCAGTAGCAATGTCCTGCGGATTTTCAATTAATCTGGATTTATTTAAATCTGCTTAAAGCGACAATTTGCTTGAATAGAGAACAGAGCAGGCTTTAAAGGTTGGGGATAATAAAATCGATAGAGTTTAAAGTCACACAACTGAAAAATTTAAATTAATTAAGATTGGGAACATTTTTCAATATCTTGTACATGAAAGTAAACTAGCTAAGTAAATGCGTTAAGTAATTGAAATAACAGCTCTGAACAGTAGGCAGAGTATCCCCAAGTCGAGCACTCCCAACTAGAGCACTGTGATATAGTTTATTGAACGTTATTTGGTTCACAGAATTCAAATTTAGTTTAAAGCATTTGTCAATAAAAATGGTTGAGTTATGCAAATGCTAGCTGTATCAAGTATTTCTATATTTGTCTGCAAAGATCCACAAAGCATAGCAAATGCTTGTCCTGTGGCTAAGTTATTCCTCTGCTCCCAGCAGCAAAAGTTTTCATCT